CTTCGAGACGAGAAAAGACCGAGTCCAAGTGCCTTCGAGACCGAGAAAAGACCGAGTCCAAGCGCCTTCGAGACTGAGAAAAGACCGAGACCGAGCCCTTCGAGACTGAGAAAAGACCGAGTCCAAGCCCCTTCGAGACTGAGAAAAGACCGAGTCCAAGCGCCTTCGAGACTGAGAAAAGACCGAGTCCAAGCGCCTTCGAGACCGAGAAAAGACCGAGTCCGAGCGCCTTCGAGACCGAGAAAAGACCGAGTCCAAGTGCCTTCGAGACCGAGAAAAGACCGAGTCCAAGCGCCTTCGAGACCGAGAAAAGACCGAGTCCAAGCGCCTTCGAGACCGAGAAAAGACCGAGTCCAAATGCCTTTGAGACCGAGAAAAGACCGAGTCCAAGCGCCTTCGAGACCGAGAAAAGACCGAGTCCAAGCACCTTCGAGACCCAGAAAAGACCGAGTCCAAGCACCTTCGAGACCCAGAAAAGACCGAGTCCAAGCGCCTTCGAGACCCAGAAAAGATCCAGTCCAAGTGCCTCTGAGACCGAGAAAAGACCGAGTCCAAGCGCCTTCGAGACGAGAAAAAGACCGAGTCCAAGCGCCTTCGAGACCGAGAAAAGACCGAGTCCAAGCGCCTTCGAGACTGAGAAAAGACCGAGTCCAAAGCGCCTTCGAGACCGAGAAAAGACCGAGTCCAAGCGCCTTCGAGACCGAGAAAAGACCGAGTCCAAGCGCCTTCGAGACGAGAAAAGACCGAGTCCAAGCGCCTTCGAGACCGAGAAAAGATCGAGTCCAAGCGCCTTCGAGACCCAGAAAAGACCGAGTCCAAGCGCCTTCGAGACCGAGAAAAGACCGAGTCCAAGCGCCTTCGAGACCCAGAAAAGACCGAGTCCAAGCGCCTTCGAGACCGAGAAAAGACCGAGTCCAAGCGCCTTCGAGACCGAGAAAAGACCGAGTCCAAGCGCCTTCGAGACCGAGAAAAGACCGAGTCCAAGCGCCTTCGAGACCGAGAAAAGACCGAGTCCAAGCGCCTTCGAGACCCAGAAAAGACCGAGTCCAAGCGCCTTCGAGACCGAGAAAAGACCGAGTCCAGCGCCTTCGAGACCCAGAAAAGACCGAGTCCGAGCGCCTTCGAGACCCAGAAAAGACCGAGTCCGAGCGCCTTCGAGACCCAGAAAAGACCGAGTCCGAGCGCCTTCGAGACCAGAAAAAGACCGAGTCCGAGCGCCTTCGAGACCGAGAAAAGACCGAGTCCAAGTGCCTTCGAGATCGAGAAAAGACCGAGTCCAAGTGCCTTCGAGACCCAGAAAAAGACCGAGTCCGAGCGCCTTCGAGACCCAGAAAAGACCGAGTCCAAGCGCCTTCGAGACCGAGAAAAGACCGAGTCCGAGCGCCTTCGAGACCGAGAAAAGACCGAGTCCAAGCGCCTTCGAGACCGAGAAAAGACCGAGTCCAAGCGCCTTCGAGACCGAGAAAAGACCGAGTCCAAGCGCCTTCAAGAATGAGACAAGACCAAACCCAAACGCAGTCAAGTCAGAGACAAGACCAAGACCATAAAAAAACGGTCTCGAGACCAAGACAACACTAAGTTTCGACCTCTACAAACATGTGCTGAAATGTCCCTTTACATCAGATGCCCTCCCTGCGTCTCCATGGAGCCTTATTCTGTGTAAAAGCTGCTCATTCTGTAGTTTTCGAGCTCTACAAACATGTTCTGAAATTCATGTGCTTCTTGTATTAGTTTAAAGTTCAGATTTCAGTTTTCTCTCGAACAGAAATGCTCGTGGGTGTGTTTAAAATGTGTTGCTGAGTTCATCTGACTGACTCTGGTGTGAACGCTGATTTCCAATTCAAATCAGAGGTTAAAGAAAGTTACTACATTACAGGGTTAGAAAGGACTGGAAATCAGATACTCAAACTACAGATGAGTAACCACGTTTACTTCTGAATAAAAATAAATTAATTTCATTTTAAAAAGACCATGCAAACACTTAATTCTAATGACAATGATTATTCTGAATTAAACTTAATTCCAAAGTAAGTGGATGGTTTATTCGGATTTTAAAGCCGAATTAATTTATTTCTTGATCATGTAAATGTTTATTCTTCTAAAAAATAATCCTGGTTGTTCAACGTATGAATGATCCGGCTCCACCAGTCCTGGCTTCGGACTTTCATCCACGTCTCTTTGGATTTGTGAGCGAGATGTGGGAGTGGGCAGCCTCACACTCAGTTTGTCTTCCTCCATTCTCCTCCTCAGCCGACAGACGTAAAGTGTGATGAGTCAAACTCATTTTGGTCCGGGGGTCGTATCCAACTGACTTTGATCCCAAAGGGGCCGGATCAGAAAACTCATGTCATATAAACCCCAAAAATAACAATAAGTTCAAATATTTGTGCAGAGAAACACAAATCTATTACAGAAATCTTTTTTAATTGATGAACTCTTTCTTTTACAAAATATTATAATATTATGAACAACCTGAAACTTTAAGAAAAATGCAATTTCAACACAATGTTTTAACATGAACTTGTTAACATGAACTTGCAAATAGGAATAAGTCAATTTTTGTTGTAAAATTCCTGCACTCGGCTCCACTTTTCTCATGTTGGACATTTTTCTGATGAGGGTGTCACGGTCAACAGTCAAAACGATCGTCCTTTAAGAGCGTTTGGAAAGAGACAAGTCTTCATTTGTGCTGCTCTGGTGGGAGGGGCCACGTACAGAGACGCTGGAGACGCTGCTGTGATAAACACCACAGAAAATTAACAAGATTTTAATAGAAAATATAATTAAAATATTTAAGTAGAAAATCAGCCGAGGGCCAGATTAAAGGTCTTGGAGGGCCGGATCCAGCCTCCGGGCCGTATGTTCGACACTCCTGGTTTACATGATCGAGGAATAAATGAGTTCGGCTTTAAAATCAGAAAAAAAAACACCCACTTACTTCGGAATAAAGTTTAATTCCGAAGTGTTTACATGGTCTTTTTAAAGCGGAATTCATTTTTATTCAGAATTAAAGCTCTGGTGTAAACGTGGCAACTGTGAAACATTCCAGTCAAAGCAACAACATTTCCAAAAAGAACTTTTTTTTTTTTTTTAACACTCTGTTTATTGTGTTTTTGACATCCAATACACAGCACCAGTCCATAAAATAATACATCAGACATGTCAAAAAGATTAATCAGCCTTTTTCAAGCAAAGTATACAGAAATATACATGTTATTATATTTGTCAACATATCGTAGGATTCTTATAGATTGTAAAAAATTGTATGTTGGATGATAGTAATAATAATAATAATAAAAGCAACTGAACATTCACACAGACAAAAAGTAATAATATTTGACCAAAGTGTATAAGTTGAAAAGGTGGATATTACAAAGACCATCATATAGCTCGGACTTGAATAGGAGTTTAAATACCGTCTTTAAATTAGTGAATAAAACGTGACCATATCCTGTTAAATTTATCTTCCTGACCCTGCAAAGAGGATCTAATTTTCTCTAGATCCAAATGCATCATACCATAAAGTGACCATATTTCCATTTGTGAAAACCCGGACACTTTACCGGGGCCTCGGCATTGAGCTACAGTCGTCCCTCGATATATCGCGGTTCACCTTTCCTGGTCTCGCTGATTTTTAAATTTTTTTATTTTTTTGTGTCAATTTTGAATGTTTTTTTTTTTTTTTTTTTAAACACGTGTGGGTCAGGACTAAACCAGGGCTAAACCAGGACTAATCTTGGACATAAGAGAGAGAACGTCGAGCAGTTTGTCTGCAAAGCGCCATCAGGCAATTGCCACGTTTACGTCCGTGAGGTGTGGAGCTCTCCGTCGGTCCCTTCTCCTGCGGTCACCTCCGGCCCTGGTTCAGTCCTGGTTCAGTCCTGGTTCAGTCCTGGTTCAGTCCTGGTTCAGTCCTGGTTCAGTCTGTGGCGTAGGCAGTGCAAAAGCTTGACATAATCTCGGGTTAACGGGCGGGTGCGGTGTTGTACTGCAGGTCTCCAAAAATGGACCCGTGCAGTTCTCTGCGCTGTCGGCTCTATTACGGAATAAATGAATCTTGGGTTCGTTACATAAAGAAGGAGGAAAATAACAAAAGGACGACAGCAGCAATAAGTTTTAAGAAGGAAGTAAAAAGGGTTGTAAGTGTCCTGTGTGAGAAAAGTGTATAAAGTTTGTGGTGAGGGGTTTTACAGCTTTAAAACAGATATAATAATTGTAAAATATAAAGCTGATACTTCGTGGATTTCACCTATCGCAGGTTATTTTTAGAACGTAACCTCCCGATAAACAAGGAAACATTGTACTCTCACTCACAACCTGTGCACATGGACTCACACTTGTCCCGACCGGGATGGAAAACTGAGAATTTCTTGTACAAGTCATTGTTCAATGCACATTTACGCTTCGGTATGTTGCAGACTGACCGACTGTTTGTGTCTCGCTCCTTCTGAGTCACAGAGAACTACGAAAAACGATCAATTTAATGCCCCCAATGAACTGTAATGAAAACCCAGACATTTCCATCACTTTAAAAAAAAAAAAACCCGGACGCCCAGGACAAGACGCAAAAAACGGACATTTGGTCACCCTATCATACCAGTTCACATGTTTCCACTTCAATAAAATCAATCTTCGTGCAAGCAGACAGGTAAATTGTAATACCTGACGCTCAGATATTTTATTTTTTTTGACAATTTTTGAGTCTATTATCCCAAGTACTGCTGTAAGAGGATTCAGATCAATAGGTTTGTGTCCACAGAGAAAACAACACACGCTAAAAAATACGCTTTTATAGTTTGAAATACGCTCGAAGTGTGTCCAAGGCGATGTTTGACTGACTCCTCTCTTGTGTCTCTTTCTTGTCCACAGTGATGGCCTCATTGGAGCACCAGAGCGTTAGACTCCTCCCCCTCCTCCGCCCATAACCCCCCACCCTCCTCACCCCCGTCCTCCCCCTCTCCCTCCTCCTCCTCCTCCTCCTCCTCCTCCTCCTCCTCACCATGTACAGCGTGGAGGACCTACTCATCTCCCATGGTTACAAACTGCCCAAGAGCGGCCCCGCCTCCGCCCCGCCCTACGACAAGCGCCCGTCCGACTGCCAGCGCGAGCCCGGGGAGTCCAGCGCCCCCCTCAGGCCGGGCAGGGGGGCCCTCAACGGGTACGAGGGCGAGCGGGCCGCCTCCTCCCTCACCGGGCTCTACGGGGCGAGGCAGGCGCTGGTGAAGGCGTACCCGGGGGCGGAGAGCGAGGGGCCGGCGCTGGTGAAGGCGTACCCGGGGGCGGAGAGCGAGGGGCCCGACCGGATCCTGAGGAGGAAGGACATGGCCGTGGGGGTGCTCCAGGACGGGCAGGTGGTGGACTCTCTGGCCGTGGACAGTGGGTGAGTCTGCGGTTTATGTTAAACTTTGTCAACTCTAGTTTACACCACAGACACACGCACACATATAGAGTTCAGCTCCAGTCAAATGAAGCTCATCGACGCTTGAGGTCATAGAGGTAAATCTGGAGTCGAGTTACATATTTGGAAATCGGGTCATGAGTGTCATAGCAACTAAAGTATTGTTTCCGAAAGACTGGGTCGTGACTCTCAAGTGGGTCGCAAGAGATTTTTTTTTGGATCATCTTGTCACGATCTGGCGCCGCCTAGTGCCTCCACTCAATTTAATTTCTCTCCAGCGACTAGGTCAGGAATCGGAATACACTAGACCAGGAGTGTCAAACTCAAATTCAGAGGCCAATATTAAAAACTGGGCTGAAAGTCGTGGACCAAAGTAAATATTTATTGAAAAATTTCAACAACATCTGCATATTTTCTCTTCTTTCGAGATATGTAATGTTAAACCTTTTCTTACTAAAATAAATGTTTAATAATAGTTTTGCTTAAACAATGAATCCAGAAGAAACAGAATATAAAAAATAACAACATTTTGAATAAATAATGTCTCTATAGTCGATCTGTATCTGTATCTGTATATGTATCTGTATATGACCTCGCACGTCAAATATAATTATATTGTGGGCCAAATTTGGTCCCTGGTCCTGAGTTTGCAAGAACCACAGAAGTTGTAGACCACGCACCTACCAATCAGCGAAGAACTGTGAAGTCATGACGTCAAACTCGTGGAGTTTGTCTGGGTCCCTTTTGTGGAACAGAACAACAGTAAACAAAGCGTCGAGATGGATGTAGACGAGGAGAGACATTCTGTGTTGGCAACGATTCCCGAGATCGAGGATTTAAAAGAGAATGTTTGGTGAATTTTATCAAGGGGAAAGACGTTATTGTCCTTCTTCCTACGGGATTTGGTGGATTACATACCTCACGACCAAATAGCAGAGATTGTTTAAATTAAAAAAGTACTGTCAAGCAAACGAATCCCAATGCTGCAAGGTCAGATGGTTTCCACAAAGTGAAACTAGTCACGATCTGCATCTTGTCTAACCAGTTTTCTGTGGGAAACACTGATTACTGTTTTTCCTTGTTTAAAACTTCAGTACCGTATTTTTCAGACTATAAAGCGCACTTAAAATCCCTTAATAATCCGGTGCGCCTTATGTTTTAATTCTGGTTGTGTTTACTGACCTCAAACCGATTTTTGAGCTGTGTTCTTTAGTCCGACAGGAGCTGATATACGATGTACACTAAACTAGGTTAAAACTGTACCTTGAACTAAAAAAAACGACTAAAACTAAACATTTTGGTCCAAGTTTTGATGTGGTGATCGTGTAAACGCACTCACATCTCAGTCAGTTTCAATACATTTTATGCAAACCACAGATCAGATTGTTAGTTATCGCTGTGATATATGGCTGTAAAATAAAAATGGACATGACCAGCTCATTCTCTGTAAACGCTGCTCCTCATTCTGACCTCAACCCGCTCTGCACGATCCTGCGCTTTTTTATTTCATTATCGTACCTGCGAATTAACATATGAACAATAATAACAGACCAATCGGGTGCCCTCTCTCCCCGAGGTCGCTCCCTCGAGCCTTAGCAACAGGTTTGACTGACGGCAATCAAGCAGACAGTTTTATTCTGATTATGTCAGAGCTCAAAGTACGGCCAGTACTAGACTCAAGCGGCTGTCATTCTTATGTGCTCACGGCTCTCCTGGGATCTTTATTTTCATGCAGGCTACAAATCATACTGCATACTAAAAACACGATACACCGGGACTACTAATACTACTAATACTACTGATACTACTGATACTACTGATACTACTGATACTAGAAATGTAACAATAACCGAAATATCATGATATCGATTTACAAGTTCCTCTGTGTTATGGTGCAGCAGTAACTTAAAAAAGACAGAGGGAACTACATAGACCATGATCCTTTGCTCCATTTCAGTGCAGACGACAAGAAGAAATAACAGTTCTAACACTTTTAAGTCTTAGTTCTTTGGATTAAGTCTCATCAAATCATTTTATGAAGAAAAAGTATCATATTGACAGTTTTGTTTCGCAATAAATATCGTAGTGTGACATATATATCGTGAAAATATCGTACAGAGCGATCTGGATATTGTTACATCTCTAATCGTGAGCTTTCCCACGATATCGCAATAAATATCGAGACTTGGATATCATTACACCTCTAACTAATACTACTAACTAGGGGTGTAACGATATCCAAGTCTCACGATACGATATTGTCACGGTATAAACCTCACGGTACGATATTTATTGCGATATTGTGGGAAAGCTCAAGATTATAGATGTAACAATATGTAGATCGCTCTGTACGATATTTTCACGATGCGCATCTCACGGTACGATATTTAGTGCGATATTTTGTGGAAGCTAAAACTGTGCTTCTTTTTCCTCTTAAAATGCCTTGACAAGGATCAGTCTCCCATCGTTCGCTTCAAAGAGCCGGTTCTAAGAGTCATTTCGTTCGCGACGGACCCATCACTAGTAAAGAAAGTAGCGCTATTAGCCTTTAGCCGTAAATACGTGCGCGCCGCGGTAATTAATTATATGCGCAAATGTCATAATTCACACGTCTGTTCACAGCTCATTTACATATCAGTGCAGGTCCAGTAGCAAATATACGGCCAATATAGTCACTTTACAATAGACCAATAGAAAACAGTCTGTTTATGTGCGGGAGCTACAGCAGCTAACCCATAACAAATGACAAAAACTAGCTTCAGAGTCGACATATTTCCAACACTCACCGCTCACACAGGCTCCTCCTCACATCACAAATCTGCACTAATAAATGTCCTTTTAATCCAGACTCAAACCGATTGTCCGTAAAAAGAAAATAATCTCAGTGTTTGGATCTGTGTCTGCAGGTGTAAACAAACACACGTGAGTGACGCGACTCTGTGGTGTGTTCAGGGACAGTAGGACACACACAGACAAATGACTCCGTAGATAAATACTGATGTGGAGCCACATATTAGGACATTTATCTGTCTGTAAATTGGATTAAATGAACATAATGTAGAGAGTCTAAGCTTTATAACGGCCGATAGCCGATATGCCTAAAGTTGCCCATATCAGCCGATAATATCGGCCAACCGATATATCGGCTGGGCTCTACTACTAACAGTACTAATTTTACTAGTTTTTTCAGTTTTTCACTGTTTACTGTTGACCAAAACATTTTGATCGATGAAAGTGTCCACCTTTGGCAGATATAACAGCTGAACACACTCGTGGCTCAATCTTTTTACAATAGAAATCAAATATTCTTCAGAAACTTCTTCCCAAGTCTGTTGCAGAAGTTTCCATAAATGTGTGACACTTGTAGGTCGCTTCACTCTTCTGTCCAGTTCATCCCAAACCAGCTCCATGAGGTTTAAGTCTGGACATTGTGCTGCTGCTGGACACTCCAGGTTTTCAGACTTTACCATCTTGTTCTTTTTTCCTGAGGTTGTTTTGGCAGAGCTCGGCAGAGGTGGGACTTGGCCTCACGTCAGACTTGAGTCACTATTTTTAGGGCTTGAGGCTTGACTTGATAAAATGGACTAAGAGTTGGGACTCGACTTGGACTTGAAGGTCAGTGACTTGGGACTTGACTCAATCTTGAGACCTGTGACTTGAGAAGACTTGATGCTTCTCCTAAAAAAATATATGTTTTTAGAAAATACTTTTCTCTTTACAGTCGATAAATGCGGTGATTAATTTTACAGGAACAAACTGGAACACGTCCGTCCCACTTCTCTGTTTGTTACTTTGGATGAAACTGAAGTACTGTGATGTGGTATCATCAAATGTACTACAGTATTTACAGTACAGTAAAACAGAAATCCTTCATGACAAAATAACTGTCATTACGCTCTTTTAAATCTGATTTCTTTCTATTCTAACCGTAATGATTCACACTAAGATTTTGTCAAGACATTTAAAAAGGAAAAATTTACATTTCTACAACTCTTATATAAATATACAGTGACTTTTTAAGAGCAATTTAGTTTAAAATTCAGATAAATTGCAAAAGTCTAAACTATATGTGGTTATTTTGGTTTAAAGACTTGAAATGACTTGAAGCTCAAAGCAGACGACTTGGACTTGACTTGGACTTGGCTGTATTTGACTCAGACTTGAGGTCAAAGACTTGAGACTTGCAAAACGACGACTCTGGAGCTTGGACTTGGTTTTTGTTCTTTTTTTTAATCTTTTTTTTTAACCTCTGTCTGTTCAGTACTTTAACTTTTGTACGATTTCAAGCTCTTCATTGGACTTGCACGACTTGAATTGCAATAAATAACTGGAAAAATTAGGACTTTCTAAAACTTTTGACCGGTAGTGTGTACAGTCGTCCCTCGCTATATCACAGTTCAGCTTTCGCGGTCTCGCTGTTTCATGGATTTTTTTTGTGCAATTTTGCATGCCTTTTTGTTTGTTTTTTTACAGCGTATGAGTGCATATTGTGTTCCTCCCCCTGCGTCCTGATTGGCTAAGGGACTGTAAACCGTTGTCAATCAATCTCCTCCGTGCCATGTCTCCTGTACAGTACAGAATGTGTTCAGCTCGACAAATTTACATAAATGTTGGATCTATAGCAGTGTGACTCTGAAGTGCAGCGGGATCGGGCATTTGCCGGCGCTTACCGTGAGGTGCGGAGCTCTTGGTCCTTTCTCCTGCGGTCACCTCCGAGCCTGTCCCGATCGTCAGTCCTGGTTCAGTTTCAGGTTTAGTCCTCCTCTTCAGTCTTAGAATCAGTCCTGGGTTAGTCCTGGTTTAGTCTTGGTTCAGTTCATGGCGTGTGCCCCGCAAAAGTTTGGGTCGGTGGTGTCCTGTACTACGCGGGTGCGGGTCTCCAAATATGGACCCGTGCAGGACTCTGCGCTGTCGGGCTCCATTACGGAACAAATGAATCTTCGGTTTGTTACATAAAGAAGGAGGAAAATAACAAAAGGACG